TTCTGAATCTGAAGTTCATTTTTTGTTGATTAGGTTGTTGCAAAGACTACTGTTAAGTTTGGGGGTCTGTTTATAAGTAACATTTACAGTGAACCACTTAGTTCCCTCAGACTTTAGGCTGTAAATCCTAATCAGGAACTTGAAATTGCGTATGTGATATTGCTGTAAACTGTTCTGATGACTTTGTGGTTTTGAATGTAATTTCTGAAACTTAGTAAAGTAATAATGGGTCATAATTCCTCCTCCCTTCCATTTGGGTAAATAATTATGACTAGTTTCACATGTTTTGTAGTTGCTACTTTTATGAGTCCCATGTTACCCATTTCTCATGTTTTTTATGATTCATATTATCGAATAATCTGGCGCTGGTGCCGTTCAGCCATTTGACCTTAGTTGTCTTTGACCTCGATTGTTCTATGTTTTAATCTGTGCTCATAACCTTAAAAAGCGAAATGGAAGGAAGCGGAAGTATTTATTGTATGTGTGCGCGCGCGTCCGTAGATACGTTTGAATTTTGTCGTGTAACATTGTACGTTTTTAAGTTTAGAAGTATGATGTCTAAATGAGCTCTTTTCATTGTAAACATAGTTAAAGTAGAATGTGTGACTTCTGTGAACACAGTGGATGTATTGTTATATTTTTGCGATGGGCTGAGACTGTCTCCCGGTGGATTGGGCCCTCCAACCAGTCCTTATGTGAGACGGAAATTTGATTTGCCTTCCAGAAAGGTAAGTGTATGTTTTTGTCAGTGTTAACATCATGAATTGATAATTGCTACTAACGATTCAAAGGTTGTGAGTACACGTTTATGAATTACGAAATTTTAACAACAGTTCGTCATTGCTGATATCTGAAGAGGATAAAATGTTGTTTTCCATTCTTCGGATTTCATCTGCCATTTTGCTTTTGTGAATAGCTGCCGAGATAAGTGGGTTACACACATTGAACATCTTTGACATGTCTCAGAATGGCCTAGTTATGAATATGGAGCCACATTTCTATGAATAGGTTTGTCATAAACACAAGCAGTAAAAAAGAAAACGTTATATTCTGTTTGTAGGGAATGGCTATGATTTAGTTCACATGTTTTTGTGTTGTCTTCATTGTCTGCCACTTCTTAGATTATTTGATGGTGTACAGTTACCAATATGAGGTGGTAGTTGAATTTTGCATGAGAGATTAAACTCTCCGCCAATGACTTACCACCAATATGAAGTGGTAGTTGAATTTTGCATGGGAGATTAAACTCTCCGCCAATGACTTACAAAAGCTCATCAGTAGTGTGGCAAGTTCTGGATTTTGTATGTAATAAGAGAACTCTAAAAAGCAAGTATCAAACTATGTCATGTTTGTATTTATTAACTCATATATGTGTTAAGAAAACAGCTACATTTTATTGACCCTGAACTCCAATTTAAGCAGACAATTTATTAAAATTCTGATCTATCTGACTGAAAAACACATTTGCAAGGAGTTGGTATGAGAACCTGAGGTTTTCAGCATCAGTTACTACATAATGTGGAAACTTTTCATGAATTCTGAATATAACACTATTGTACTTCTTTTTCCCAGATGGATCCAAATTAAAAATTTGGGATATAGTAGAGATGTACAGAGTTATTGCAGTAGTGTGTGTCAAGCAAATGGGGCATCTGAAAGGTTGACAAAATTTGTGGCATGGCACAATCCACACTGGAACAGTACATGCAGAAAGGAGATAAGTCACCTCAAGAGAATGTGTTAGCATTTCTTTGGGCCATCATCCAATGTTATCACAAGTAATGGAAAATTAAATAAAAAAGTGCTGTGTAGAAATGGGCAAGGGATATTTTGGAGTCACATGGAAAGCTCTTAGAATAACTGAATTCAAACTAATAGAAAGTTAGAATACGCTGATACCAAATACATATGTTTTCAAGAGAAAAAGGATTAGCAGGAAAAAGTGGTAGCATGCCTTTCTCAGAAGAATCCCATCTCTGTTAATTAGAACCCCAGTAATCAGAACAGAGGCTTTCATTTCAAAGTCCATTGCATATGAACTGGAAGTGATAGAAACAAAACACAACCCAAACGCATTATTCAATGTTGATGAAACAGAGATTCTGCTATTAGACACAGGGAAGTAAGGCAATCGGAAATGTGTAGCTGCATTCGTGTCTGCAGGGTTAGGTGGATTGATCATTACCAGATTTTGTGCTGATAGGTCATTACAAAAGCTGGTTTCATTATTCCATAAAAATTAAAGAGCCCAGTCTAGATGGCCTAGTTGTCTTGCAATCAGCGAGGCGAAGAATAATCATGTTTCAACTGAAGTTTTGTCCGCCATACACCAAGGCAAAATGGAACCTTTGGATATGCATTTTATGGTGCCATTCTGTCAAGCCATTGAAACATATCTCAAAAACATTGTTGCAGAATTGTGTCTGATTGGAAATCCGTTCTAGGAAACTTGTTTATGAACATAATACACTAAAAGATGTTGATGTTTGTCGTGTGGACCTGATTGGGTTCCAACATTTGGATAGACATCTTTAGGGCTAAAGTGACTTCAGATTGATGACTGTGCAGATGCGTTTGCTGACTGCATGGTGAAGGGAACAGTCGATGAGATTTATGTAGCATTTGCTCAACATGGGCGTGCCCATACAACATGTGACAGAGACTCAAAAAATATCTTTCATTTGTGAAATGTTGCAAATAAGTTTTCATAAATCAGCTGTTGAAACGTTTTGAATTGGATTTGTAATTGAATAACAAACACTCCTTGGCTAGTTGTGCAACTGTTAGCTTCTCAAGAATGACTTTGCTTCACTGAATCTCTCTCCAGCACAGATGGAGTCCAGTAACAAATTACATGCAAGTGCACTTAAGACTTGCAATGTTGGCGGTTGTAGGTACACACATTCAGACGACTGAAGGATTGTAAAATACTAAATATTTATTTTAAAAATCTCGACATATTACAACTTTTGTCATTGAACAAAAGTGGGTTATGTAATTTTGTTATGCTAAGTTCATGTACATTAAGCAAACACACTCCTATGTTATGTTTCTTATGCAGTAATCTCTCGTCAACCTCCAGTTATATATAATTTTGCACAAAAGCTTCGTTTTATGTAAAAAATAAAGCTTTTATCTCACCGAGATTTCCACATTGCTTTATTTCCTAAACCAGTTTGTGAAAGCTTCCATTTCACCATCTGTGACACTTTATGGCATTTTATGTGTACTTAATTTTAATTTTTAACCGTCTTGTTGTTAAGACAGCTTGGAATGGCGTCGTAACAAGCTTTCGGTATCGTTGCAGATAACCCAGCCATTACATAAGGCGGGTGGAATCCTCCTTTCAGCACTCCCATGAACTCTTTATGGCAGGGAGAGCGGTAAGATTCGAGGTTTTTACAGCGGTGAAAATTTGGATTACTGTCTTTGCGTTATGACGCCATCTGCAAGGTACACGGGAGAGGAATGCAGTAGAGTTAATCGAAACAGTTGTAACCACTTACAAGGTCAAACGGCGTCATAGATCTTCACGATCACGATTCAGACCGCGCTACAACTTTCACTTTCGTCACACGCTCCGACCGCTGGTTGAAACGAAAACACGTAACCAGCCCGTACCGCAAAGAAAACACAACACTTCACATAAACAAAGATTAACTGGTTAACGATGTTTAGAATGAGAATCGTGCGAAGATCTTAAGAATGCTGTTGGCAAAATTCATTATCACTGAATGTTAAATTGCACATACAAATTAACGCTGTGCTTTGAAGAGTCTTAATACATAAGACACTTAAGATAATGTCACGACTTCAGTCTTCAAATAGACACAGTAAGAAAGCAAATATTTTCTAACAGCTGGAATGTATCAAAGGTGATTTAATGCTAATTGTGCGTGTGGTT